TGATACCAAGGGCTCAAGTAGAAAGCAAATGTTTTGAGAATGATGAGGGCAATAAGTGTACAAATGTGCTTGACACAATGGCTGTATTATGGATTGTGATAAGAGTTGTATGAACCCCCAATAAAATGATTTAAAAAAACATTACACAAATAACAATGAGTACAAGGAAGAAGAAAATGTTCTAAAAAAAAAAAGGAAAGAAAATGCTCTAAGATTGATTATGGTAATGATTGTACAATTCTTCTTGATATGATTGAACTATTGAATTGCATGATATGTGGATGAAGTGCCAATAAAAATGTTAAAAGGAAAAAAAAAAAAAAGACCAGGCTCTACATCCTACTTTGGTGAGTAGATTTTATGTCTCCCTGAAATAAAGCTCTTTGCAGGGAACTGACTCCGCCAGAGGAATGCAGCCTTTGACTCCTGGTTGTTGTTTCTTAACTTTTCATTGTGACTGAAGTCAAGGTTTACAGAGTAGATCGTGAGTTTCACTTTCACCATTTATACACATTTTATGTCAGCTCATCCTCTTCAATCCCTTCAGTGTGCCATCCTTGCCCCACTTCCTGCAAGTGTTTCGCATTTCCGTTCCTACTTCTTTCCTTAATCCTCTGTCCTTGGGGAAATGCCGCCCTTCTGACCTTCAATGGTGGATTATTCTAATATGGAATGAGTTCTGTTCCAGGCCTGGAGGGTGACGTAAGCGTCATGGTCTTGGGGAAAGACTGGGATCTTAAAACCCAGGGAACAGCCCCCTAAGGTGGATCTCGTGGTGTCTCCCAGTTTGGAGGAGAGAAGCGTGAAGAAAATCAAAGACACATGGAATCAATTAGCCCAGTGGACTATAATGGACCACACACACACCAGTTTCCACCACCCTGAGACCAGAAGAACTCGATGGTGGCCGGCTACCATGACCAACCCTTCCAAAAGGGAGCATAGCAGAATGTCCAGGATAGAATGGGAGTGGGAGAAGAATGTAGAACAAGACTCAAAATCCTAACAGAGACCAGGCTTCCTAGTAGGAGAGGGACCGGTGGGACCCTCAAGAGTCTTGAGTCAAGACTAGAGCCCACAGTCACCCTTGAGCTCTGGAAATTAGCTCACCTCCTCCGCTCAACTTTCAGCCAGACAATAGATAGGCCTATCAGAGGAACTATAACACCAAAGAGGGACACACACCATTCAATAATCAACCATTATTTACCCACAGTCAAAGTTGAAAAGGGTTACGAAAGAAAGAGGAAGCACCGCTGGTTGACTTTGAGTGACCTTTGGTTAGAGGCTCAGCAATGAACCAAAGCCGCCGTACTACTGAGGCCCTGCCCTTATCCAATACAGGACTAGGTTAGGAGTGCTCACTGCCCCTCTCTTACACACACAACTCTGAAACTAAGAATCAGGATACAATGAAAAGTATTTTTTCAATCCTCTATATGTTAATCTCAAAATTAAGATCTGGTTGCACAGTAAGAAACAAGTTCTTGGTTGTACATAAAATACAAGGTTACTGCCAAAAAAAAAAAAAAGGAGGAGGAGGAGGAGGAGGAATGGAAACAGGAAACACAGGGAGGAAGTGGGATAAGGCATGTGGCATTGTGAGAAATTCAGTCAATGAGATGAGACGTGTGTATGGATTGTCGAATGGAAAACTACTCTACTCTGTAATCCTTCACCCAATTCACAATACAAAGTTTTCTGAAAGACCAAGAGAGAATGAATGAACGATAACTGGCAGAGCCTTAGAAAGTATGAGTAACTCCAAAGAATCAGTAGGAAAGTTCACTTTTCCCTTTTTTGTTTTCTTCTCCAAAATTAGCTTTGCCCCACAGAAAAAGATTGAAG